AATGAGAAACTACCTTACATTACCAGGCATCATTATACTGTATATTGTATGATTTGACTGCTTAAGTTGTTAATAGTTGACAGTTATATCGGTAATATATTAGGATATATTTACAAACAGTGAAATACACACACACACATACACACTTGCACATATTAACAATACGTTAAAACATCTTTAAAAAAATGATATAGTTACCATAAAGGATAAAATGCACCTACTACAGTACACTGCGTATTGCTTTAAAGTCATCACACAATGAAGTCATGTACACTACAATATCTAAAAATATAGCTCTTAGAAAAAGGCAGAAACCAAAGGCAGATGTTATTGCAGTATAACTATTTATAAGTTAATTTTATGCATTTGTTATTTTAAAGGAAAATATAATTATTTAGAAAATGCAAAAACTGGAAAATACTTACTATTATCTGAGATTTATTAAATAGGTGCATGCACCAGACTGTTAACTCTTGGAATTACTTGCTGGCTCATTAACTTGCATCTCTTTCGAATATGTGTTTACTGATTTGTCACTTATTATGAAAAATTAGTAATTTAAACTAATCTGTCATTTCTCAATGCTAAAACAGCGACACTTTTGCACTTGCCATCTCCCTATGTATGCGGAAAAATTCTGCAATCTAATCCTGTTCATCTGATCTCTTTTTCTTGGTATATTAAAGCTAGAATATGAATGTATGATTTTGTAGATTTTTAATCTGGTTAGTTGTTTTCAGTATTGCTGAAATGTGCAGTATGCTGTTTTTCATGTCTGGGAAGCCCATAGAATGCTATAGTAAACTGGTATTTAAAGTTACAAACTACTAACCTTTTACTCTTATTGTTATTAAATCCAATACAATATACTTTTAGTTGCTAGTAATTTTATAAATATCATTTACCTATTCATTTTCCTTACAGAAATTTCTAAGAAACTTATGCAGGTTACATTAACTTTGTATAAATAAGCTACATTTGTGCATAAATTTTGTTACTCAAAAAAAAAATATCAAAGTAATTAAGTTTAAAAAGGACTAGTGTATTCTATTAAGACATTTTTCAATTTGATGTTTTGAAGTAAAGGTTTATCAACAGGCTCTTCATTTTCTATGTATATGCAGGATGTATATATATATACATACACACACACACACACACAGAGCTGGCACAAAAACAAAATAAATTTGGGTATAGATATAGCTGGTTGGAGAACCATATAGCCTACAGTTTTGACAGATGGTACAAAATCACGTACAACATATATAGAAAAACAAAAACATAACATCAGGTGGTGATGTAAAGTGACCTTAAAAATTGTATTTGCTTATCATATGACATCATCAGAGTTTGTAGTTAAAACTTTAATGTCAGAACTCATTTATTTACTTATGGGCTGGATGGGGCCTAACATTTAGCATACTCAGACTCTGAAAGAGGGATTCGTGGTTTGTTATAAGAATGATTGTCAAATTCCACTATTTAATCAGACAAGTGTTGGTGATGGGTGCTGTTGAGTAGCTGCTTTCCTCCTATTCCATTAGCTCAAAATTAGAAATTGGTATGTACAGCTTTGTATAGCTTTTTATAATAATACTAAAACAAGAATTCACTCATCAATTAGTAGGACTGTTACAACAATCCAATATTAACAATTGTGCAAAAAAAAATCATATTCAACATTACATGATTCATGTCACTGAAGACATATTCATGAGGCTGTCTGTCATGTCCCACCTTCTCTGGAATCTGTTGCTGAAATGTATGAATGACATATTGAATATTTGACATGACTTGTATTGATTCTTTAGTATTCTTAAGATGAAATAAAATTTACTCTGTTTCTAGGTCATCTTGAAGTAGTGGCTGTGGTACTTTAAGTTCTACATATATTTTACACTTATGTATCAAATGATGAAGTCATAAGTTATATTGGTTCTCTCACCATCTATATGTTTATACCCAAACTTATTTTGTGCTATTCTGGTATGTGTGTGTGTGTGTGTGTATGTATGTATGTGTGTGTGTGTGTATATATATAGTTTATAAGGTTAGTTTAATAGTAATCATGCTTCTCATGATGTAGTATACAGATATATATTTTTAACATTTTTATGTCAATTATGAATATATATATATATATATATATA